CCTCAGCCTCCCAAAGGCGCGGGATTACAGGCTGAGCCACCGAGCCCGGCTCCCAGCCATTTTTAATGATAGCTATGTTTAACAACCAGCTCACAACATTTCTAAAAGTGAAGAATGGGCTTTTAAGCAGGTATAAGCCAGCTCCAGCGTACTTCTGGAGAAGTATGCTTACAGAAGTTGAGGCCCAGGGTCTCACATTTCTGTCTACTCTAAGCACAGGAAAAGGGGGAAAGGATAAAATGGGTGGGAGCGGAGCCCAGAGTGGAAGGATTGCATCCTTCTGGTTTTTTCCCAAATAAGGGAGGAAAAGGGGGGCTGCTGAGAGTGGCAGGATTGTGGAGGGCTGTGGCAGTTGGTGACTGCTGTGGTGAAGGAGCGGGGGCTCATTGAAGGCTCAACCCAAACTGGAGAGCCTGATATCCCTATGGATCCTGGTGAGACTTCTAAAAAAAAAAAAGCGTGTTCTCAGCCTGGAAACCTGGACACAAAATCCTCAATGTAATGGTGGAGCTTGTGGGGTGGGAGGAGAAGAGGTGGCAGTGTGTTAGGCAGAAGTGCAGGTCCTGGGGGCTTGAGGATGTCAGTGTAAGGGTTGGCCAGGGTCCGTGCTGGAGTAGAAAGTAAACCAGGGCAGGGCCAGCACACCAGGGAAAAGGAGCTTGAGACCCTCATGAGGAGAAGGTGCAGGAGTTATCAGGTGCAAGCTGGAGAGGAGATATGTAAAGGTAAATAGGAGACGTTGGGTGTGAGGATTGTAGCCACTAGGCTGGGACTGGGGGCCAGAGAGGTGGCCAGAGGGGAGAACTGTGGCACTAGAAGACAAGAAAAGTTGAGGCCAGGGCAGGGATCCAGTGCCTGAGGAATCGCTGGGAAATTTGGAAAACAATAAGTTCTTTTTTTTGATATGGATTCTCACTCTGTCACCCAGGCTAGAGTGCAGTGGCACACTCATGGCCACTGCAGCCCCAACCTGCTGGGCTCAGGCAATCCTTCCATCTCAGCCTTTCAAGTAGTTGGAACCACAGGTGCACGCCACCACATCCGGCTAATTTTTGGATTTATTGTAGAGACGCGGTCTCACCAATTTGCCCAGGCTGGTTTCAAACCCCTGGACTCAGGCAGTCCTCTCACCTTCACCTCTCAAAGTGCTGGGATTACAGGCGTGAGCCACCACACCCAGTGTAACAATAAGTTCTTAGCCTGCTAGGGATTCTGATTTGGCAAGAGTAAAAGCATAACACTTGCTGTTAATGTTCTGAGTTGTCCAGGTGTGGCGGTTTATGCTCGTAATCACAACACCTTGGTAGGCCAAGGCGGGAGGATTGCTGGAGACCAGGAGTTTGAGACCAGCTTAAGCAACACGGCAAGACCTTGTCTCTACAAAAAATTTAAAAAGTAGCCAAGTGTGGTGGCACATGCCTGTGGTCCCAGCTACTTGGGAGGCTGAGATGGATGGATCACCTGAGTCCAGGAGGCTGAGGCTTCAGTGAGCTGTGATCATGCCACTGTACTTCAGTCTGGGTGACAGAGACTTTGACTAAAAAAAAAAAAAAAAAAAAAATTCTGAAGACAGGATAACTCTGAGTTATCCTGTCTTCAGATATTAGTCCCTGTGAAACACAGGGAGAATGTAGAAAGTATACATTATGTTTTTTGTGGGGTTTTTTTGTTTGTTTATTTGTTTTTTGTTGTTGTTTGAGTTGGAGTCTCACTCTGTTGTCCAGGCTTGTGTGCAGTGGCACGCTCACGGCCACTGCAGCCTCGACCTGCTGGGCTCAAGTGATCTTTCCACCTCAGCCTTCCAAAGTAGCTGGAACTACAGGCATGTGCCACCACGTGCAGTCCATTTTTTTATTTATTCGTAGAGACTAGGTCGCACCATGTTGCTCAGACTGGTCTCGAACTCGTGGGCTCAGGCAGTCCTCTCATCTCTGCCTCCCAAAGTGCTGGGATTACAGGCATGAGCCACCATGCCCAGCCTTATTGTTGTTGTTGTTGGTTTTAAATTGAAACGGGAGCATCCATATTGGGCTACCAAAGAGTGTAATGAAATTGAAAATCACAGTGGACTAAAGCGTATTGCATAAAATGGCAAATCTCAGCTATATCACAGCAACCAACTGAGTGAGTGAATCTGAAATGAGGGAACTGAAATGTGGAAACTGGTCATTGAGGAATGGAGAGTTTTGAGGGACACAGGGACAGTTTGACTAAAAAATAATAGGGATGATGATACGTCACTGTAAAACTATAACCAATTTAATAAAAGGAATGCTTGTCTACAAAATTTGAGACAATAAGTAGAAAATGTGATAAATTATGAAGACATTTAGAAAGTTAGGAATTCTGCTCCCATTCCCCTAAAAGACAGTAAAGTGCTGGGAAACTTTGGGATTAATTTTTCCCTCAATTTCCAGTGTTATAAAAATAATGCAAACATGTTGAGAAAGATAATATCATATTCACTCTCTGAAGCCATTAATTCTTATAACAAAATCAGATAAAAATGTCATACCAGAAAAAATTTTATTTCAATGTATGTAGTTATAAGAATCTTAAAACATCAAAAAATGGAATGCAATTATAACACTTTAAGGAAATTTATGTTAAGACTGCAAGAAATTGAAAATGTTTTTTCTATCATAGGCATCATAAGTACATCAAATAAGAAAAAAGTTATCTTTATTTTAATTTTTAAAAAATTTACATTATAATTAGAGACAGGGTCTTGCTATGTTGCCTAGGCTGGTCTCAAACTTCTGGGCTCAAGCAATCCTCCTGCCTCAGCCTCCTGAAGTGCTGGGATTACAGGCATGAGCCACTGAGCCCAGCCAAGAAAAAAGTTATTATTCCAATTAGGTGTCTCAAAGACATTTGGGGAAGTTTGTTTGTGATATGGGTCTTGCTGTGTTGCCTAGGCTGGTCTCAAACTCCTGCCCTCACATAATCTCCCACCTCAGCCTCCCTAGTATTAATAGCTAGGATTAGCCAGGCTCGGTGGCTCAGCCTGTAATCCCACGCCTTTGGGAGGCTGAGGTGAGTGGATTGCCTGAGCCCGCGGGTTCAAGACCCGCCTGGGCA